AAAAAAAAGGGCAACAACTGCAAGAAGCAAGAGAAATGGAAAGAAGCCCGCTAGACGATACAGTATCTCTTGAGAAACTAAGTGAAAGAAACGAAACAGATCAGTGAACTATTCTCAGAAAAGTTGATAAACTTATCATCAGCACCGCTAACCACAGCATATCATCACATCATCGATCAATGTTGATCAGAATATTTATGACCAATTAAAACTTTATCACTTCTTCATTCGGTAGAATACGCGAGAACAATGGTGATTTCGCAGCAGACGAAACAATTTCGTCTTTTGAACGAGCGCGTAATTGTTCCGTTCGAGGAGCACTCTGATTCATTCTGAAATTCGAGCTCACCTCAGAATATTCCACTTTATCGACAGAACACAATGCAGCTCTATTGATATGGTACTCATGAAGCCTAGAATGGTTTACCCAGCAGAATGACTTAATTGGACTAGGTGAACGTGCTCTGAATAACTGAAACAATGCCATACTCTCATATACTACTGAATAAAGTATCCTATTGGAAAAATATCCAGGAATTGAAAAAGTGCATAAGACAGACAAATCATCTATTCGAAAACTTACTTATTTTTGGGTTTTGGTGGTACTGGCGGTGGTAAACGACCATTGCTTTGCTGATCAACCACCGGAGGAGGGGGAACTGCTGGTTGGGTGGGACGAGTATGGAAACTATGAGCCACCGATCCGGCCTGGGAACGTAGCTGCCGTAAGGGACTTATGACGCTTNGGTGGGACGAGTATGGAAACTATGAGCCACCGATCCGGCCTGGGAACGTAGCTGCCGTAAGGGACTTATGACGCTTGTATCCTCCGAGGTCAATGCCGATGCTGTTGATTGTGAACATGTGCTTGCCTCTGCATTGAATGACACTCTGAAAAAACATGCGAGAAAATTTTTGCATATACCATTGGAAAAAGTCATATCAAGGAACTACTCACATCAACAGCCACAAAATATAAACAATGCGCAAATAAACAAATAAATCAATGAAAAAAGTTGCGTTGAGACGATAGAATGGAGGAAAATAAACACTCGCGATGATATTTGTATACAAAAATGAATGAACTGATCGATTGCAGTGAATGGTTTGGGTAGGGCGATTATACTTGAACATAAATGCAATTTGATATGTGCATGAATGATAACAGCTGTAGCGCTGTGTTAGCATTAAAACAATACGTATTATACACTAATCATATACAAAATGGATCAAAGACTATGATAAGCGATCGATGAAAATTTTAAAATAATCGGATGGTGAGTACTGAAGATGAATTGAAATATTCAAGCGGCAAAACAAAGCTGAGAAGAACTCACACGTGAGACGACTTTTGTGGTGGTATGGGTGGCAATGCGGCGTTGGCGAATTGTGTTGAAGAATGTGGTCTGTTCGACGAGAGCAATGTGGTCTGCTGCTGCTGCTGCTGCTGCTTTTGAGTGCTATTTGAGGGAGGAGGAAGACCATTTGGAGCAGATGCAACAATTCTTGAGCGAGTAACGGGAGTGGATGAAACAGGCGCAACTGAGGTACTCGGGGTGGTATCGCCGCTGGAAAAAGATGTTACCGATACCACATTGGTGGTGACGACAGGCACTGGGGGTGGCGAGCTGAAACAGCAGCTAGCGCTATATTGAAGAATTCAAGCAGAACATTAAGCAGCAACCACACTACTACTTTGAAATAAATAAACTTTTCAACTATCAAATGATAGATGATGAGTGAAGCTGTTGAATAATTCCGAATGAAATCCTAGTGTAATAAAGTGAATCGGATACGAAAATCT